CTCTACTATTGATTTTGCTCTCCAAGTCAGTCCAAGGATAAGGAGTTGTGGATTTTCCGCTCAAACATTTATTTCGCACTAACCCTGCCACCTGTGGGCGGAGTCTAGCCCTGCCGCCCACCATACGTGTTCCCAACCTACCGCCTGTGCTCGTACCAACTTTGAACGTCCTTGGTCCACGGGGACAGGAGTTACGAATTTCCGTACAAACATACAGACAGACGGACGGACAGACAGACGCGACCACATCTCTGCCGAATTTGAACGACCCAGGTCCAAGTTGGCTGTTTTTGAGGAAGCCCCGAACCCAGTAGGCGGGGTCCACACCTGTCACCTACCATTAGTGTTCTCATCTTGCCACCTACATCTCTGCCAAAATTGAGCACTCTACGCTCAGGAGCAAAGGAGTTACAAATTTACCGCGGACTACACTTCTTGCAAGCCCCGCCCCTAGTGGGCGGAGCCTAGCTCAGATCACGTGTACCCAGAGAGTTTGGCTCATTTTCCACTTGTTCATCCCCAGTCCCCACTTGTTCCAACCTGTCTGAGCTGTTCCACGTGTTTCGACACCCAAGATACAGTGATAGTGATAAGATAGTTACGGTGAAACAGACATACAAACATACAAACATACAGAAAAACGGACATTTGTGGATTATATATAGTAAGGATGATCCAGTTGCAGCTCTGCTGTGTTGTTCTATTCTTTTTTGTTGTCTAATCTGTGTCAGTGCTTTATTCTTTATTTAAAACACGCCTATCTGACGTTCATTTTTTACAGATGTCGAAATGCGTAGTAAGGACACACTACGAACTCCAGCTCAAAGAGCCTAACAGAAGTATATGGAAAACCATTAAAATTCGGCTACGTCTGTTCTGGGCTCTGTTCAAGATTCGATCATACGAGTGGTACCTCATTACGTGGGACACGCTCCCATTTAGGTTTTTAATTTCTTAGCTGATTAGAGCTGATTACGTAAGGTTGCAGTTGCTAGTGTTGTTCTCTAGTACATTCTACACTCTCTCAGGAGAAGATCATAAGTTTTCTGAGTTTTCTGCACGCTCTTGGAGTACACACAGGGAATGGAAAGATTCCGAAGTCCATAAAGTTGATGGAAAGCTATAATTTACTATCCTGGGGAACTCAATTTCATCGTTTCATCTCGGTTGTTGCGTAATTCAGAAGTAGAGCTCGAGTGATTTCCGTCTAATCGTCATATAAAGCCTGAACCTCCAAAAAGCGTAAAAATGCTTTTTCCCATTTTTTTTNTTGTGGAACGACTCTCTCTTGATTTTGTATAGGGTATATCAATTCGCAGTTTTTTTTTTGTTGAAATAGGGCTCAGCTGGTACCAGTTCACTGCCCGTCGGGGTATCCAAGTGCTCGTACTCATCAACCGTGTTGTGTTTTGTAATATTTCTTGACAGGCAGGTTAGCTAGACAGTAGATCTTATTGTATCATTTAACTAATGCGAATTTTTGTATAATTAATTGCTGTCACATAGCCACGGAAGAATTCGGAGAACTTCTTTTTTCAGAATTCTTATTAATAACTGTGATATTTTATAGTTCTACGATTGCTTGCATGCAATCGGATCACATTTCATGAACCTCTCGATATGATATCTAACTTAACTATGATTGGAGCTGTAAATGTATGTTTTACTATTATGCAGCCAGATTTAAATCATTTGATTTGCCTTACTTATTCTCATATGAATGCCTTAAGAATCGTGCACCTCATTTTTTCATTTTGTTACATTCTTATTATCGATTATATAATTTTGATTGATTGATATTGTGATGTTTACAAGATATGCGATATTTTATTTTCGGTGATGTAAGAATAGGTGAGGCTAGGAACGTAGCCTAGAGATCGTGGTATAACAATTTTCTGTTATACCTTTTATTCCTTTAAAGCTTAGATTCAGATAGTCAGGAACTAAATACATGTGAATAAATAGTTTTTAAGGATTTCGTCCTTCTAGTTAATTTCAACGCTGATTCGTTCTACATTCTTTAACTGTACCTTCGATTTTTATCACATAATGATCATATCGCCATGGCTCTCGCTAAATATCAAGCTGCGGTATGTGTTCAGCCTTTGTTTCATGAACGAGCACCTCCCATAATTAGTTCTTTGGTCTAATTGAAACCAGTTATCATCAGCGGCGAGTTATGGCCTTGAGGTTTTAGCAACCTCTTCCGATTGGTCCTATCCATTTCTGTCGTACTGGGGGCAACCTCAGGCCCAGGCTAATGATGCCCACTTATATTACTGTTGGGTGTATGGGTACGTACCAGCGGCTTGCCAGGCTCTCATGTGAAGACTGGGGAGGGTAGATCCGGGTAGGCTTTGCCAAAGTGGTTGGAAGCTTCCCTTTTTGAGGCGACTCGAGTGCCAATTACTTCCCATTACCTCCACTGCAGGCTTCTGGATGAGCTGATCTGCAGGATACCGACCGCACCTGCAGACTCTCTTTACACACATGCATGGATACACCTGTAGGAGACAGGAAGTCATATAAACGAACACAGCAGAAACATGGAGTCTCCCCTGAATTTGCCCGAGATGCGCTACTTAGCCTCGTCACCAGCCGGATGAGATTCTTCAGCATGAGAAAACTCTCAGCGAAAGAGGCCGTGGGGAAATCAGTTAAAAATTGAGAATCATGGTTTGTTAGAGGTTTTGGAGCAGCGTCGAAAACCTGTTTTCGAAAAAGCTCTTCGCTTGCATGCCCTCAAAAGGTATCTTGATTCAATTGGACTTATTGAGCGTTCTTCGATTGAAGTATTTTCAATCATACCAGTTCTCTTGGTAAAATGCCATCCCTAGCTTCGTACTGACTATTTTCACTACATGCAGTCTGTCTGGGTTGCGAATCTTGATGGATCATGACATGGCGTGCTCTGTGTCGAAAATGTATTCACAAATTGCTTTGCAGACCGGTAGCTGCTTAATCGGTCCTAAGTTCCACATCAGAGGTTCATGTCATTGAAATATTTGGAGAATGGATTGACTAGAAAGGCTTTTTCTCAATTTTTCAATGCAGCGCGCTGCACGACCACGACAGCAGGAAGTTCAGGTTAGAACATTTCTCTAAAACACTTTTCATCATAGTTTATTTCATGAAGCAATTTGATTCGAAGTCTGCGTTCCAGAATGGGCAAGTGCAATTCTCACGACTAGAGTCCTGGTTTTACTTGTAGGTGATGCCGTTCCGAATTTCCGCGAGGAATACGTTCTTCCTCCGAGTTTCGACTACAGAGTATGGTTTCCGATGCATATGTCTGTACAAATGAAGAAGATGGAGGGAAAACTGCGTTCTGTAGATCTCATCGTCGAGGTAGTATATAAATACTTTACTACTTTGTTTCGGCGCTCGATTTTTGGGAGTAGGATGGTGGCTGAGAGGTGCCGCAACGGCGCTAAACTAGGTATGGGTATGAGTCTGGAGCAGCCATTACAGAGGCCACGTCGAAACTAGGTGGTTGGGTGTATACAGCCAGGATTCTTAACTTTTTGTAGTTTTTTTTTTCGTGTCAGGGTCCTTTACCTATTCCTAGTTGAATCTGAAGGTCTGACGCTGTCAGCTGAAGTTGCCGCGCCAGTAGCGATTTAGTTTCGATGAGAGGTTCGCGGTGTTTTCCCTCCTCCCCTATCTTTACAGTTACTCAATATGACCCGAATGGTTGTTAAACTCCGTATTCGCTTCTGTGCTTGAAATGTATTTCTACGAGGGATTTTTCTTTGTTCCTAATTGTTTTGTATCAGGTGCACGATGCTCGCATTCCGGTTAGTGGAAGGAACTCAACGTTTCTGAAGCANTTGTGCTCAGTTCGACCTCATGTGTTGGTAATGAACAAAATGGATCTGATTAACATGAAAAAGTATAAGTAAGTCCGATACCACTCTTCTATTTTTGTTTGCTTTTTTCGTTGGTGTAGAGGTTTTCTGTGAATCATGGGCAGGCTACAAAGAGTGTCCATCTTACTGTTAGTCTCTCATTGAAATGTACAGTATAACGTACTGCCTTAACGGTACGAACTCTGGCGTGAGGTAGCTGTCTCTAAACAGTCGTTGATGACAACTATTCCTGGTACCAGCCGCCCATCTTACTCTTTGTTTCGCATACAAGCCTTATAATGTGAAAACTAGCAAACTCCCACCCTAAATTTCGAATAGCAGGCATCGTTGAACGAGAAATCTTCTAATGTCCGCGCCTTGCTGATTGGTTTATCTCCGGATTTCTCCTTGAAAATGAGAAATTGAGAGAGTATGGTATAGTCTGCAAGTAAAGTCGTTCACCTGTCAACATCTCATCTTCTATACCGCTAATAGTAGCAATGCGTTTTTTAGAACAAGTTTGAGTTGGTCGTCCACCACGGAAAGGAATGATTGAAGTAACCAGCTAGACTTTTTCAGACAGCCGATTGAAGACTACTACCGTTATGAGCAAGGTATTACTCAAATTATCTGGACAGATTGCAAGAGGCGGCTTGGTCGTGCTTTATCGAATGTACAGAAGGCTGTGCTTGACGTTCTTACTCGAGAGCCCAGATTCAATCGGACAGTAAAGACAGAATTCCAGGTGAGATCTCTTTGCAGTTGTTGCCACGTAACTTCCTTCTCGAGGATTCCTTCCTTTAGATTATGGTAGTAGGCATACCCAACGTCGGCAAATCCTCCCTCATTAATACGTGGCGGTCCCACAATTTGGGCACAAAGCAAAGTGCCGTTGCAGAAGGTGAATGAAACGGTATTTTTTCAAGTTTCTGTAAATGTTAATCACAGATCTATGATCATTACTTGCTTCTTTGGAGACTATTAACACCTCACATTAACATTCAATGGTTCACATTGTTCCCCCTGAACGCAGGTTCTACTTATGAATGAGTGGAACATTCATTAGTTTCTTCTGTACAGGCGCCCGACCTGGAGTTACGGTACGCGTTCAGAACCGGGTTCGTGTTCTGGACAAGCCCCCTATTTACGTTCTTGACACACCTGGAGTCCTTTCACCGTCGACCCGAAACGTGCATGAGGTAAGGGTTTTCTATGATAAGCAGTCCTTTTTCTGGTAGTCTGCTCGTTAAGCTCACTGCGTTTTGCTAACTGCGTACTTGTGTTCAGGCGATGAAGCTAGCTTTGTGTAATCTGATATTGGAAAGTGCCACAAATCCCCGATATGTAGCTGATTATCTTCTCTATTGGTTGAATCGGTATGTCGTTTCCATTGATAGCTTTTTGTGAAAATCAAATCAGTTGCAAGGTCGTTTTGGGTCGTCTTCAGTAATCGAGCTAAGACAGCGGAATGTCTGAGCAAACATTCATAGTTAGTCTTGCACCACGTCGTTCAAATTGTGTAAAATTCTCTGAGCACTGAAAGAAATAGGGTTTAATGATGGTAAAACTCAATTGTATTTCTCATCGTTCATGTATCTCAATTATCTCAATGAGGGCAAAAGTCACTTTCATCACCACTTTTTATTACTGTAGAATGGGGTTTTTTAGTTTTTCATTGTTTATGGCCTGAAATTTACAGCATTGCCTGAAGTTATTCTCACCTTCTGGTTCGGTTTTTATCATATGAAAGTTAGGACAGAAGGAGGGTCTGTTTTGAGACTCGACGGTCGTTGAAATATAGGTTGACGAATCAATGTGTCAAATTCTGCATTAGAGTTACATTGTTTTCTTTCAGTACTGGTGACTTTTCCTACATCAACCATCTTGGAATCTCAGGCGAACCTACTGATGACATTGATAAATTGCTGCTTCGGATATGTTCTGCAAAGGTTAGCTATCAAATCAGAATAATACCGAAGTGATTTTGCGTATGCTGTTGTCTAGTTTGTAGGCGATTGCCGATAACTGGGAGGATCTTAGAGTTAGTACCAAAGTGCGCATATGCCTATACCCGTAGAGTGGGTGGAAATAACCTCGTGAAAAGCCAAGTGTAGAGGCTTTCGGCAGGCAAACAGCAACGAGGGAATACGGTTTTGTAAGCTTCGGTATAGATCTATGCAATACAAGAAAACATTCAAGAAAGGCCCGGAGTCATGGAACAAGCCATCACTACTGTAAACCCGCTTTGCTATCGTAGTTGCCAGAAAAGTAACTTTTTGTGGATCTAGTGTCTTTCATTTCTTCCATGTTAATTTATTTCAATAAATATTTGATCACCATGAAAGGTCTGGCATCATTATTACTTCGATAACTTGGATTTATTACGTTCCCTCAGGACCTACGAACTCGTTGTCTCACCGGACTTACTTACGAGGAACGATGGGATTTTGACCGTGCAATAACGACGTTCATACAACTGTTCCGAAAAGGAGTTATTAAAGATTGCTGTTTGGATAAAGAATTACTGCGGCCGTACATGTGAAGAGCAATTCTCAAGCTTAGTTCCTTGTTTTTGTTAAAATTAGGTGGCAATAGGAGATTTATGTTAGCTGTTGATTGTTAACGATTGTACAACCTTTATTTGGTGTAACTGTCAATATTTTAAGTCAGAATGGTGTAGTGGTTGGTTGTTAAAAGTGATGTATTGCTATTACTTCCGGATTGTTCTATCAATAATTACGTTGTTATGTTGATTGATAGAGCCTGTTTTTTCTATTTAAAGTGCCTAATATTGTGTCATTTTTTGTACGCTTTATTGTGTAGACAGAGTCAAGTTCAGCAAAATGAGGATATTTGTTTATCTGGTAGGAGTAAGGTAGAAGTAGGTCGAGAAAAGGAAGAGGGATGAGAGCGAAGAAGGATTTTAGGATTTCTTGTGAGCTTAAAACAACACTTTTGAACTTGACCTTAGCGCTTTATCAGAAACTACAAAAGTAAACGACCTCCAAAATTCAAAAGTGCATTTAGTGATTCGAAGCTTACCTCCTTGAATTGGGGAAATTTCTCATGTTCACAAGTTTGAGGGTTGCGATCTGGTCCAGATATCGACTGCCAAAACAAGTTCTATTTGGCAATGTTGATTCGGAAGTATTACCGAGTAACTAGCTCGTCTTTTGTACAACTTGCTATATCTATGGTCCCTAGCCGTCCTTCTTTATGAATGAATCAATAGCTTTAATTGTTTCTAGAAACCTACTCTTATCAAAGAAACTCCCGCTAGATTTCATTAAAAACAGAATCACAAAGATCAGTAATTTGATAAAAACTCATTGTTAGAGCAGATGCTTGAATAACTCAAAAAGAATAAATTCTGAGAACCTTACTTTTGCTCCGCCGTATACGTGACGAGTTCCGTCTGAGCGTCTGGTGTCCCTTTTTTCCCCATGTGATCACTCTGTTCTGAATAGCGGAACTAGTTTCAAAAAAGAAACAGGATAAATCCTAATCAAAAAACCAAACACCAGTAAACAAGCGTCATTATGTGGCCAGCCACTCGAAAATAGCAGCGGTGATGCGTGATTACATGCCCGTATGTTAGTTTTTTCACCAAACACCTCGGTGAATAAATATCTCTTTGGTGGGCCTCTAAAAAGAGTTGAAATTGACTCGATACTTTTAAGAGCCTCTCTCTTCTGAAGTATTCCTATAAAGTCTTTTTGAGTTCCCATAAAT